ATTCCCCTTCTCCGCCACCCTCCACGCCCATCGTTACTATTCCACATCTTCGTCGCGACGCCCTCGGGAAAGAGGCCCAGAAAGTTCCGGTCTGGTGGGTTCCCAGGACACCTCAGAATCCCGTTGTTGATGCAGCGGTCTATATACTTTTCTCTGGCGCCACAAACTCCTTCCCGCGAATGACGGAGCCAGTCAGCGTCCAGGGCGCTTCTCGCTTCAGCCAATCAATGCTCACGAATCCTATGCTTGTTCCCGTCTTCTCTGGCCATGCTCCTGAAAACGCGCACTACTCCAAGTGAGGCCGGAAAGCCTCAGCGACCATCTTTACTAAGGGCAAAACCCTCCGCGCAAGCGGAAGGAAGGAACTACGGGATGTTGACGGGGCGGTATCTCAAGAAAACAACCAATCAATACAGTACTTCCTCATCTCAGGACATGTAATCCCACCCTCGCCAAAAGATTGACTGCTTGCGTCACTTCCTTTGTTTGGCGTCCTTCTGTTCCCGCCAAACTATCATCAATCAGACGACGCCTTAATCTAAAGCGCCATAGTAGGATTCCTGTTTCTGTGTCCCAGAGCCGCTGTCCTGCGGCATTTGCCCAGTTCAAGGACTCGCAGTGCTAGCCTCACAGCACCTTGTGGAGTTGCTGGTTCCTTTCTGTAAAGAGCCAAATTCTCTTCTTGTAATGCTACCCACTGGTCCTGATTCTCCCCAGTGAGGTGTAAAAAACCTATATCCTCTTAGGCATGACAGCTTTTTAAAAGATCTGAGGATGGCAACGCCCCCTGCCCATACCCTACCTTCTTCCCTCATCCCACTCCAGTCCAGGCTCAGCATCCCCAGTGGTTTCACCTGCTTTTCATAATTCGTATAAAGTGTTTATCTATGTCCCTCCCATAGACAATGGAACACGTCTCTCAGTTCCTTGCTAAATGCTACTAGACTGTTAGAATTTTTTTTTTTTTTTTTTTTGAGACGGAGTCTCACTGTGTTGCCCTGGCTAGAGTGCCGTGGCGTCATCCTAGCTCACAGCAACCTCAAACTCCTGGGCTCAAGCGATCCTTCTGCCTCAGCCTCCCGAGTAGTTGGGACTACAGGCATGTGCCACCATGCCCGGCTAATTTTTTCTATATATTTTTAGTTGTCCAATTAATTTCTTTCTATTTTTAGTAGAGACGGGGTCTCGCTCTTGCCCAGGCTGGTTTTGAACTCCTGAGCTCAAACAATCCGCCCGCCTCAGCCTCCCAGAGAGCTAGGGTTACAGGCGTGAGCCACCGTGCCCAGCCTAGACTGTTGGAATTTTTTTTCATTTTTTTATTTAAAAAAATTTACTGATGCCTCCTTTGTTCCAGGTCCTGTGCTGGCCATTGGGATTCAATGGTAAATAAGATAGACATGGCCCTTGGGCTCCCAGACTGTTTTATTTTCTTTTTCTAAAACTGGAGGAACTGTTTTAATCATTTTACATTTATTAACTTAATCTTGTGAGGTATATAGGTACTATTGTTGTCCCCACTTTACAGATGAGGCAATTGAGGCATAGAAAGACTAATTTGTTGGAGTCTGCCTTCAAATCCAAGAAGTCTGATTCCATAACCAGTGTAGTTATTATACCTTATAGAACATAGTAGAAACATACTAGAAACATGTTAGAAACTCAAATAACAACAGAGATAAGGAAACTATAAATGTGGTGAGTTGGATAACAGAGAGGGACTTTGTAAAAAATTTACTATTTTCTCTATAGTAAGAAAATGAACCACACAAGCCAATGACCAATAGTAATGTGGACCCAGTATAACTGAACCAAACTGGGTTCTTTGCCCACACACAATGGAAAGCCAAACACTGAAACCATGGGTTTTTGCAGCTACAAAGGTTTATTGTCATATCACCAAAACAAGGAGACTCAAAATCTGTATCCTGCAGCGGAAGGGGGTGGTGGTGGTAGAGGGGTAGAGGGTTGGTACAGGTTTTATAGTCAGAAGGTAAGGAGGTGTGATCTGATTGGATCCTGGATATGATTCATAATTCAATCCCTGTTCCTGGGTCCAAGAATTTAGATTCCACCGGTGGTTGCATGCTCAGGTAATAATATGTCCTTCAACCTGGGGTCCATGGCAATTGGGAAACAACTCACGACTTTGTTGCATAAAAGTTGAACCAGATTGGTCTGATATGGTTACACCAGTGTTGCCAGACTATCTAAGTGTTTTTAGCAGATGCCAAAAATCTTGATTTTTATGTGAAAATTTGTGAATTGCAAGTGTTTATAAGTAAATTAAAAAATTTAAAAACACTATGTCAACCAAAGAAAACATATCTGTGAGCTACATGTTACTTGTGTGCCATGTCTTTCCTATAAAAATTCTGTAATTCTGTAAGCCTCCAAATCACTGAAAAATAAATAAGATACAGCTGAGGACAAAAGGCTAAGGCACAACAGATGACATTATATTAAGCCTAAGGTAATTAAAACATACATAGTCTAAGAAGTAATAGCATATTTATCATATGTAGGATAAAATGTTTGAAATTAAGACTAGGCCAGGCACGGTGGCTCACGCCTGTAATCCTAGCACCCTGGGAGGCCGAGGTGAGAGGATTGCTTGAGGTCAGGAGTTCAAGACCAGCCTGAGCAACAGCGAGACCCACATCTCTACTAAAAATAGAGAAAATTAGCTGGGCGTGGTGGCGCATGCCTGTAGTCCCAGCTACTTGGGAGGCTGAGGCAGGAGGATCCCTTGAGCCCAGGAGTTTGAGGTTGTTGTGAGCTAGACTGACTCTAGCCTGGGCAACATAGCAAGACTCTGTCTCAAAAAAAGAAAAAAAAATGAAATTAACACTATTATGTGGAATTTAAGATGCAGGCTCACTTGGGTTAATCAGCCTCATTTTGAGTTCAACTAGTTATAAATTCAGCTGAGAAGATCATATCATTTAAAAATAAAACAGAAAGGGGTTAGGCACAGTGGCTCAGGCCTGTAATCCCAGTGCTTTGGGGGGCTGAGGCAGGAGGATCACTTGAGACCAAGAGTTTGAGGTCAGCCTGGGCAACATAGTGAAACCTCGTCTCTACGAAATATTAAAAAATTAGCTGGGCGTGGTGTCTTGCACCTATCATCCCAGCCCCTCAGGGGGCTGAGGCAGGAGGATTGCTTTAGCTCAGGAGTTTGAGGCTGTGGTGAGCTATGATCACAGCTGTGAATACTACTGCATTCCAGCTTGGGCAACATACCAAGACCTGCCCTATCTCTAAAAAAATGAAAAATGGCCAGGCACAGTGGCTCAAGCCTGTAATCCTAGCACTTTGGGAGGCTGAAGTGGGAGGATTGCTTGAGATCAGGAGTTCAAGACCAGTCTGAGGAAGAGCGAAACCTTGTCTCTACTAAAAATACAAAAAATTAGCCAGGTGTGGTGGCCAGTGCCTGTAGTCCCAGCTACTTGGGAGGCTGAGGCAGGAGGATCACTGGAGCCCAGGAGTTTGAGGTTGCCGTGAGCTAGGCTGATGCCACGGCGCTCTAGTGCGGGCAACAGAGTGAGACCCTGTCTCAAAAAAAATAAATTAATAAAAAAAAATATTCTCTGTAAAAACTGGCCATAAAGTAATGATCTGACCTACTTTTAGTTTAGAACCCCATTCCAGAAAGGGCCCTGCCCGACACCCGGAAGGAAGGAATGAATGCTCAGAGTGGCCAAAGAGAACCTAGGCAGAAAGGCCTTGTGGATTCCCCGCCACTCAGCCTGTTGGCATTAGATCACATCCTTTTTGTCCAATCATATATCTACATAGCTGTCCATACTTTGTTGACCCTAAGCGTAAAAATGGACAATTTCCCCTGCATCTTTGAGTGTTTATTCTGAAGGTTCCCATGTATAAGTTTGTAATTTTTTCTCCTATTAATTAATCTGCCTCATATCAGTAAATTTTTAGCAAACCTGTATGGGAACAGTGGCCTTTACTGCCTACACTTTGGCTAAACTTTGGGGGCCAGGGACACTTTGATCCCTATAATATCAATAGATATTATTTTGATATGGTGTTTTAGAAGTGTTAATATCTAATTAGTTAACACCTTTTAAACAGGATATTCTAAAATGTCTACTATATTTTATGAAACTTGGAAATGTTACATTGTTTAAAATAACAAATCTTATTAAAATACTTACGTTTGTTTTCTGGGTAGGACTTACAAATTTAAAAGCAATAATTAAGACTGTATTTTAGAGGCCGGGCACGGTGGCTCATGCCTGTAACCCTATCACTCTGGGAGGCTGAGGCAGGAGGATTGTTTGAACTCAGGAGTTCGAGACCAGCATGAGCAAGAGTGAGACCCTGTCTCTACCAAAAATAGAAAAAATTAGCCGTTTGTGGTTGTGTGTGCCTGTAGTCCCAACTACTTGGGAAGCTGAGGCAGGATGGCTTGAGCCCAGGAGTTGGAGGTCGCAGTGAGCTATGATCATGTCACTGCACTCTACCAGGGGCAACAGAGCAAGACACTGTCTCAAAAAAAAAAAAATTAAAAAACCCCAAAAACCTCTTTAAACTATTTTACAGATTTTGGCTTCTTTTCTGTTGATAACACCTCCCTCTTAAGGGGCTGCCCTGGGTGTCCACCATCTCCCTGAGGCATGATTCCTGGCATGAGTGAATGCATGACTCAGTCTGGGCTCCATTTTGCATTGTGTTTGAGTATTAGTTGCTCCTTTCTTGGCAAAGTTTAGCCATTTTTAGGTTTGCTTGTTCTGCTGGGGAGAGGGGGTACAGGAAGTGGACAATATTTGCCTCTTAGTTGTTAGGTATGGAGCTGAGAGAGACACACACGAAGCCTCATATGTAGCAAAATGCTGTTTATTTTGAGCATCTAGGTACAGATGGGTGGAGGCTGAAAAAGGTGTCCACGAGAGAAAAGGGGAGAGCCTTGGGTTTTACCCCCCCAGAGGGTCTTTCTGGGGGAGTAAATAAATTCTTTTCAAACAACCAGGAGGGATAAGGAAAGTAAGTTCCCCTCTAGCATTCCATTCCTTTATCTCCCTAGGGGTCTGAGAAAGGCTACGTGCCTAATACACCCCTAGGAAGGGGAGAGCATGGGTTTAATAGGAGGTTTGAATGGAAGTTTGGGGAGGGTGAATTCTTTAAGCCTAACATTAGTGTCTGAGGTTGGGTAAGTTTCCTGGAGATTGCATTTGCTGGCTGCAACTAAAAGGCTGTCAGAAGCTGGCAAGACAGGCTCAGCTTCTATTACATAAGGGTGCAGACACCTGCCTTCTGCACCGGGGCCTCTCCTCAGGCTCCCCAACTCACACTCTGCTGGGCAAGGAGGAAAAGCCAGGAGAGGCAGTCACCCTGGATGACTTGGAACACTGGTAATAGGACAGGAATTTCTGCTCGGGCACTTGGCCACAGACAACGGTAACAGGGGGAATGGCCTGGAAAAAAAATCCGGCAAAAATGTTTTCTGTCTCTTTAAAACATCCCCCACTGTTTTTGGAGCATTAAAACCTACATCCCTGTCTCTGGCCAGTGGTTGGGAGGGGCGGAGGAATGTCCTTTGTTTTTTGTGCTACAGGAGGTGGCTCAGTGGAACTGTCTGTGCTGAGGCCTGGGTGCAGGCCGGTGGAAGTCTGGGCGGAGGTCAAAGGGCATAGGTCTGGGCAGAGGTCACAAGATTGTCTTCGCTGGATGTGGGACGCATCAGAAGCCTTAACTGTAGTTGTATAGAATTGCCTCAAGCTAAATGGCCTCCTTTTAAAGAGTTTGTACTTTTGCTTATAATTATTTGGGAAGCCTGCAGCGTGGGCGACCCACAGCTCCTGGAGACGCCCTGGCTGCAGCGAGGTGATTCCTGAGGATGTGGCTGCTCACGTGGCTGATGTTCCTGGCCTGCTGGGAAGTCGCCAGGGCTGAATCAGGTACAGGGACGCCTGCTATGCCTGTGTTTTGTACTATGAACTTGGGAGCTGCTGGAAGCTGCTCACAGGAAGCCGAAGTGCTGCTAAAAATAGCAAGCAGCGAGCTAGGGCAGCGGGCCGGGTGGGGAGAGTGAGTGGGCAGTGGGGGGTGTTGTTTGAGCCTGAAGATTTTAAGTTGGGGCGACAGCTGGCCAGGGCAGGGACACTGATTTTGCTAAGAGGCCTGGTTACATGAGCAGAGGTAGAAGGTGGCAGGTTGAGGGCCTTCTCTGTACCTTGCGTTATTCTAGGATCCAGGGATGTGGCAGAGAAGAAAACAAAGTCCCAGTCCTCAGGAAGCCTTCTTTACCTGGGGAGAAACAAAGGAAAAAACACATAAAGCAGTAAAATACATAGCATGGGGATGACAAGTGTTATGGAGAAGAATAAAGCAGAATAGGGAGGTGGAGACACGGGAAGGGTACTCACGGCTCCAGAGAAGAGCTGTTTAATCCAGTGACCTCTGAGTAGAGCCCCCAGGCAGCGAGGGGATTGCCCACACGGACATTCAGGAGGAGAATGTTCCAGGAAGAGGGGACAGAAAGTGCAGGGACCCAGAGGTGATGCGCATGGCTGCAGCAGAGTGGGCAGGGGTCGGGAGGGTAGATGAGGTCAGGGGTGGCAGGGGTGGGTGGGCCTGGCACCAGCTCATAGGTGACCTTGAGGACCATTTTAAGGACTCAGGGTTTTATTCATTGTGAAGTGGAACATCATTAGAGGGTTCTGGGCACAGGTGTGATGTGGCCTGACTTGCGTATGTCTAAAAGGACTCTTGGGCTGTCGTGTTGAGAAGAGACGGAACTGGGTGAAGGCAGGGTGACCAGCTCATCCCAGTTTGCCCAAGACTTTCCTCGTTTTAGCACTGAAAGTCCGGTGCCGTGGGTGCTCCCTTGGTCCTGGGCAAACTGGGCCAGTGGGTCACCCTGGCAAAGGAGACGCAGCCAGACCATTGAGGCTCTTGCCATAATCCAGTGAGAGGATGGAAGTGGGGACAGGGTGGTAGGCGTGAGGGGCAGGAAATGGCCTGATTCTGGACAAGATCTCCTGACAGATGGTGGGTGTGAGAGAAGGAAGACTCAAGGGTGACGCCAAGGTTTTTGGCCTCAGCGGCAGGAGGGCTGAAGTCGTCATTTGCTGAGATGTAGGAGGAGGAGCTCAGTTCTCCTAGGCTGGAATCTGAAGGGCCAGTGGCCCCTAAGGAGCACCTCTAGCCAGTCCTTTCTAAGACACTAACCGAGAGCGCTTGGCAAAGCACTGTGCTGGCAGGGCCAGGCATCCTCGGAGGCCAGCAAGGAGGAGCACCGCGCTTGGTGGGCAGGCCAGACAGAAATATCTGGCTAAGGTGGAAGGTGTCTCTGGGACAAGTCCTGAGAGGACTGTGTCATTCCCTGTGAGTGGTAGTCCTCCTTCCACCCTGGAGACAGATACCCCAGGTCCCTGCCAGGGGACTCAGGGCACTGCCAGTCTGACTGTGGCTTAAGAATGATTGAAAGAAACTTCTGGACCAGGTGACAAGGCTGACGCTTGCAAAACCAGCACTTTGGGAGGCAAGAGGGTAGCCTGATGCTGGGAGTTCAAGACTACACTGGGCAACATAGTGAGACCCTGTCTGTCTCAACAAAAAAATAAAAAACTAGCTGGGCATGGTGGTGTGTGCCTGTAGTCCCAGCTACTCAGGGGGCTGAGGCAGGAGGATCACTTGAGCCCAGGAGGTCAAGACTGCAGTGAACTATGATCATGCCACTGCACTCTAGCAAAACCCTGTCTCTAATAAAAAAGAAAGAAAGAAAGAAAGAAAGAATCTTCCACCCCTGTCACTTTTTCACTTATAAATATGTTTTCTTAGAAATCCACATGCCAGTGGGCACACTCCCCCCAGCCCAGAGTCTTACTGATTAATAAGAATTTCTCCTCCCCACAAATGCACAAAAATGTTCATTGCTGTTTTATTTATAATAATGAAAAATTGAAACAATAAGAATGGAATAGCTGAATAGATGATGGTATAACCAGATGGTGGAAAATTTTCAAGCTAATACAGCAAAAGAATTCTTTTTATTTTTTGTAGAGACAGTCTCGCTATCTTGCCCAGGATAGTCTTGAACTCCCAGACTCAGGTGATCCTCCCAGCGTGATGGGATTACGGGCTGAGCCTGCACACCTGGCTCTAACATTTCTTTACTGAGCACTTAAAATGGGCCAGACTTGGTACTTGGGGCTTGACATACACTGTCTTTTTAAAACTCATTTGAAAAATGAAAGAAAAGATACTCATTTGATTTTTATAGCCCCTGTAAAGTAGGTACTATTATCATTATACCCACTTTGCAGACGAGGACAGTGAAACTCAGAGGGGACACAATGCCTACCCAAGATTCCCTAGCTAGGAAATGGCAGGACAAATGTGCCCAGATGGCTCATGCCCCATGCCTTTCCATATGTCCTCTTGGGATGGTGGATTTTGTTTTGTTTTGTTTTGTTTTTCAGACAGAATCTCACTCTGTTGCCTGGGCTAGAGTGTCGTGGCGTCAGCCTAGCTCACAGCAACCTCAAACTCTTGGGCTCAAGTGATCCTCCTGCCTCAGCCTCCCAAGTAGCTGGGACTATAGGCGTGTGCCACCACGCCCTGCTAATTTTTCTATTTTTAGTAGAGACGGGGGTCTCGCTCTTGCTGAGGTTGTTCTCAAACTCCTGACCTCAAGCAATCCTTTTGCCTCAGCCTCCCAGAGTGCTAGGATCACAGGCAAGAGCCACTGCGCCCGGCCAGGATGGTGGGTTTTATAGGTACTGAAAAGGTGAATGATCCAAAGGACAGATTTCACACACAGGCTATGTGGGAGCAACACGGCTGGTTTAGTCACCTGGGTGCGAGTGGGCTGAGTTTGAAAAGAGAGTCAGCACAGAAGGGGGTTTAGTGGGGGCTTTTATAAACGGGGATAGCCGGCCCCCTCCCACCTGCCCTGTCCAGTTCTTTGTTTCCGGGCCAAACTGGCAAGTGAAGAATTGCTTCCTGCACCGTGCAGCAGAGGATGGCAGGCAGAGCAGCTGTTTATAGTAAATTCTTCTTCAAACAACCAATTCCTACGACCCCTTTGCCCCAGTCGCATCCATCCTTCTGCTCTGGGGTCCGTCCTTATCAGGAGAGCTGGGGAGGGATAGCCTTGGTCTCCATCAGGGAGGGAGGAGGAAGGCATGCTGGCTGCAGCTACCTGGCAGATCTACTAGGGAGAGATAAACTTGGTCTCTGTCAGGGAGGGAGGGGGAGGAATGCTGGCTGTAGCCATCTGCCGGATCTACAAAGTCCAGGGACTCCCCAGACTCCTACGGCTATTGTTTTACAAGCCAAAATTTTACATTAACCACATTCTGTCCTATACATACTTTTCGGGTTCCACGTGGAATAAACCTAACAGGTACTATTTTTATTCTTTTCTCCAAACTTGCTGGAATGTATACATCTATAATTTTAAAACAAAAGTAAATTAAGAAATAATTCCACAGCGCCTGTACATTTGTTTAGACTCCAAGTCTCTTCCTGAAGTGCAGGAGGACTTTGAGACAGCTGATGGATCAGACTCAGTCATCCCTGTTTTGCATAAAACAGCAGGTTTCTACCTCCACCTTCCTTAGCCAAGAGCCGGGGCGGGGCACCACCCTGCTGGCTCCTTCTCGGCCCAGCCCACACGTACCCTGTGCAACACTCCACTTGCTGCTCAGCTTCTAATTGCAGAGAAACAGACAAGTTAGTTCCTCCAGGGTGGCTCAGCCTGGTGGGAAAACATTCCCCTACCACTCAGGGCTAAGGGACAGGAAATGGGACCTCCAGCCCAGGCCGCATGGCCTGAGCCTTGGATTCTTCACCTGTAAAGCAGGAATGGTGACATCTACCTCCTGAGCAGTGTGGGGAGAGGGTAATCCATGCGGCTGGCACAGGGGCCAGTAAATGCGGGTTTTAACTCATGAACCCGTGTGTTTGGGGGCCTCGGTTTGCAGAGGAGTTTTTGGCCTTGCTGCCGAGCATCGACAGCAAAGGACTGAAAAGGGGCCATGGTCACTGTGGTGTGGGTTACAATGACAGGCAAAGGTCACAGAATCACAGGAAGTTAGAACTGGGGGGACCCTCAGCGAACCTTTATTCAATCCTTCCATCTGACACTTGGGGAAACAGAGGCCCAGGGAACAGTGTGGCCCCAGGACTGAGAGCTCAGGCTGGTGCGTTCACCCTGCGTCCAGGTGCTCTGTAGGAGGGAACTCCTTTGCTGCGGGCATTCTCATCCTCATTTTACAGGTGAGGAAACTGAGGCTCAGCCCAGGAAGTCCTTTGCTCAAGTTGCCACCGCCTGTGTGGAGGAGCCAGGATTCAAAATAAGATTTCCCTGATTCCAAGTTTCATGCATGTCCTTTCTGAGACAACCACTGCCTCAAGCCCAAAACCTAGGTCCTGCCTCTGGTCCTGCCTTTGGACACCTTTGTGACCTTGAGCCTCTATTTTGATATCTGTAAAACAAGGATAATAACAGAGGAGAGATTAAATAAGATAGTTGGCCAGGCAGGGTGGCTCACACCTGCAATCCCTGTGGTTTGGGAGGCTGAGGTGGGAGGATGGCTTGAGGCCAGGTGTTCGAGATCAGCCTGGGCAACATAGGAAGACCCCCATCTCTAAAAAAATAAAACAAAAAATTGGATGTGGCCATGTGCATGTGTAGTCCCAGCTACTTGGGAGGCTGAGGCAGGAGGATCCCTTGAGCCCAGGCGCTTGAGGCTGCAGTGAGCTATGATGATGCCACTGCACTCCAGCCTGGGCAACAGAGCAAGACCCTGTCTCCAAAAAAAAAGAAAAAAAAATATATATAGTTAAGTGACATCGTGCATGTACATTGTAAAGTTCTGTAAAAGTTTAAGGGACTATACACACAGATGGTCGTCAATTTACCATGGTTGACTTCGCTTTACAATGGTGG